GGAGTGTTAGGATGAAGATCTGGGTTCCAGGCCCTTTCTGCATTACATTGAGGGGTTCCTCATTATCTCTCCCCGTGATCCTCACAGATGGGCCACCTGTCAACCATGCTGCAATCTTCAGAGGAAAAATGGGATTCTAAAATGGAATTCAAATATCTGTTATCACCAAGGATGCCAAGGGGGGGAGATGGGCAACAATATTACAGAAGCTCATGTGTATCAGGTTCTGTGAATTCCCAGCTTTCATTTTTTAAAAGTGAGCATCTATCCCTTTCCATTGCAAAGAAACACTTTTCCCCTTCTATCTTCACAACAGAAGGAATGAGACACTTACTTTAAAAAAAAAAAAGTAAGCTGAGAATTCAGATAACCTGGTACACAGATTTGTTATAACATTTTATCAATATAGTGATATTCTAGTGCCAGTTACAAAAATGTAGAGCCTCCTGTGGTGGGAAGAAGAAATGGCCACCGAGGGGACAATCTCAGGGAAAATCTGGGAGATTCTGCTAACATGTCTCCTTTCCATGGAAGATACAACTAAGTTTTCACATCTCCTGATTTTCCTTCCCCTTTAAACATTTTTATGTTGTTGTGAGCTTGCTTTTTTGTTTTGGGTGAGTAGAAATATTTTAAAGTTGGGGGGGGGGTGTTCCAAATGGGGCTTGTTTCCAAGCAATTTGTGTCTCGTCTGATTTAATTAATAGTACACTTCAGTATTTTGGCTTGGTTCCTTATCTGGGGAATCTTTCTGATTCTGCTAGGTCTTTTTTTGGGGGGGGATTGTATTCTATTGCTATCCACACAGTGTAAATCATAAGTAAAACTGATTCTTTAGTAATCCTTTTTCTTTACTTTTTTTTAACTGCAGAACAATTATTATTCTATTTATGATATCCGGAAGCCAAGTGATTTCTTTTGTTATGACATTTGGTTTGAATCAGGGACATAGAATCTTTGTCCAGGGGCCTTTGGGAGCTCTTGGCAAGCCTGATTATCACACCTTGATGCATGATTCAGATATATCCATATAGTTGCCTACTGGTCTTTGCCGTTTAGGCTGTTGGGAATCCAGGAAGGAAGGGTTTAGAAGGGGAAGATGGCTGAATTCAAAATATTTAAGGAACACTTGGTTGGATCCAGACACTCTCTTCAACTGAGCAAGAGCCTTCCTCCATCAGAGGATCCAAACCACTGGCCTATGGAGCAGAAAAGGACAATGTTTTTAACTTGTAAATTAAGTTGCAGGAGGTGATATGGAACATTTTTTTCCCATATGGATTAATGTCTCTTCTTTGTCAGGTAGGGTCAATGCTGTACAAGACCAAGGAGAAGAAATGCATCACAGCTTCCAGCCCCAAATCGTGAGACCTGGGAAGCTCGTAAAATAAACTTCAGATTCTGTTGTGACAAAGAGAGGGCAAATTGCTTACACCCCTCACTGGTACCACAGAGGAAGAGAGTTTACCTCTGGGATGGACAACAACAGCCCATATCTAAGACTGATACTTCTAAGGACTGTCAGTTTATATACATAGATATTTTGCAGTTCTTATTTCCTGAATTCTGCTTTTCTTTGCCTGCCTGGGCCTCAGTTCACATATGCAATCAGTAGCATGGTATTCACTTAATGCATAGCTTATTAAGAAAATGTAAAGTCCATCTTTCCAGACATCTGCAGAGAGAGAGAGGCATCTGTGTGTCTTTTGTGAAGCATGGAGAGTGCTTGTGAATTGGAGTGGGTGGGAAGAGTCTTATTTTGCATGGCTGCTGCTTATCATGCTGTAGGCACTGTTCTGGGTGAGAGCTGTATCCTACAGAGACAGAGGTTGTTGACGAAGTGTATGTTTTCACTGCCACTTTATACTGATGCAGTGAGTTCTGAACCAGGCATTGTGAGTGAGATATTGATATTTGTCCTGTAACAAATTCTATCTCTGCTCTTTTTATGACTTACATAAGTTTTACATTGTGAAGTACACAGCTACATCAGCTGTTCCCTCTCAACTGTCCAGCCTAACTCCTTGGCACTGACTTGAGGGCACTTAGGTACAACTTTCCCCACATGTGCGTTTCACAGCAAAATATAAGATCCAGAGTACTTAAAGGGCTACCTTCTCTCATATGAGTTTGCCAGTTCAGTTTCAGGAGCTTCTCTATTATGATGCCTCACTTATGAAATTCTCTCCCCATCACAACTTGGCTGGCACTGAGTTTTATGTCGAGATTGGACTGATTTTTGAGAGCTTGAATGCCTTACACTGACTCAAACCATTGGTCCATCAAGGTCAATATGGTTTACTCAGACTGGCAACAGCACTCCAGAGTCTCAAGCAGAGGACTTTTTAGATCACCTGCTACCTGATGCATTTAACTGGAGATGGCAGGGATTGCTGCATCCCAAGGAGATGCTATACCACTGAGCCATGCCCCCTTCCCTGAATGATCCCATTTGATTTAGCATGACACATCTGGAATGTGACAAACAGGAAAGAACATTGGAAACTGACTGTACTACAGATGCCTCTAAGAATTTCTTGACTAATTAAAACAATGATCTTGATAAAGTGATTCTTCTTGTACTTTTTGGAATAGAAGATGACCTCATTCCTCACCCTTACATCACCCTTGGACTAAACTGAAAGCAGCACTGTTTTGCTTGATATATGGGCAAATCAAACACCTTAATGACTTTCAGCATCTTGGCAATTCTACAACTGAAAAGTGTAGCCCTTTCTGATTCCTGTTAGTTGGATTGCCTTAGCCCTTCAGACTGTTCACAATATCACACACAACAAACATTATGAAACATGCATATGGACCCATCAAAGAATGTAGCTGACTGACTCATTTGTTTCATTTGTTCCATTCTGAAGTTTAATGAATCCAATTAATCATGTATATGTTTGTAGGAGCTTCATTACAAGATGGCTTTCAATGGGCCACAAATAAAATAGCTATGCCTTATTCATGGGGACTAATCTGGGCAGGGAAGGGTAGAGGAAGTCTGTAGACCTTTTGTACAAACTGGATACCAGGTCAATGACTTTTCCCTCTTATGTCCAGAAAATTGATAGCCGTAGGCCAGCCAGTGTTATGTACATTTAAGTCCCACTGATTTCAGCTATGCCAGCTCCAGGGTTGGAAAAGGTACTCTCAATAGACCCCCTGAACTTCTAACTGGGTGGCATACAAACCAAGAATTCACCCATATGGTGCTGAACGTCTTGCATGTTCCATGCACAATGAGGCCATGAGCCTGTGCTGGTCCTGGTGCCCCAGCAAATGGTCATGATTGCCACTTTCTGCTGCCAGCCCTGGCTCAACAGGAAAGTTAAGCACGTGTTGGTACCATGATGACTGTTAGAATTCAATACACCTGGAGGAAGAATAGATGAAAGAGCACACAGTGCACTGATGGCAAACAAGTTCCACATAATCCTAGATCAAAATAATTTCTCCTCTGAACAGCCTATTTAAATTATGGTTGCTATCTCAAAATTGGGATTTAGAAGAGAGAAAAGTTTTTTTCTCGCTTTAGAAGCTAAACATGGAGCAATCTCTACAGTCATTGTTCTGCCCTGTAGGTTCTTGTGACCCAGAATTCAAAAGATGGGTATAAAAACATTTCCATCTGTGTCAGATCTGTGAAGGTTTGGGTGTTGCCATGATTATGTACTAGGACCATTATGCTATCTCCAGCCTGTTCTTTCCCTCCTTCTCCTTTCTTAACCGTCTCTATTGATCACTGAACAGATGTTTTCATAGAGCTGTCCACAGTCATTTCAAAAGCCTCCTTGCATGCAAACAGCTCATTAAGAACCCAATAGGAAACAGGTTCTTTTTTTCCATGGGAGGTTTCTTATCAACATCACATTCATTGGCTGTTTTGTTGCTGTAGAGCCTTTCTTCCTTTCTTCTTCTGTCTGTGAATTCGTGCATTGTAAACAAGGTTTTATTTTCCTACACTGTCTGGCATTGAGTTGTATCTGTGTTGACCCCAGTTTACTAGAGGAAGATAAGGAGGGTCAAGCAATATCTTTTACTGGATTTTTTAATGGGATCTTGTATATTTTATGGCTAAATGTAATTTACAATGTGGTGAAGAAACTAGTTAAACATAGTGCTTTAAGATGGTTTTCAGCCTCGGCTTTTGTGTCACTGTGCTGGTATCAGTGCACAGGATTACGTATTCCTCCCAAAAAAAAAAAAAGCACTAGTGAAGCAAAAAGCTATGGGCCCCTCAATTATGGCAGATTTATATACAATACATTTATATTTAGAATGTTTGGCCAAGTATTTTCACTGTCATCAAATTCCCCTTCTTACGCCAACCCCCATCCCACATGACCTTTCTACAGGCAGGCCCTTTTTTGGTGGAAAAGTTATATCTAACCCATATTTTGCCCTTACACAAAAGTAAGACTGAAATTGTTCTGCTTTCTTTGCTTGGACTAGGATGTCAACACAGAGCCACTGTGGCTTCATAAGTTTTGATTGCAACTCTGCCTTTAAAAACTGGGTTGCCAGCCCTGGCTTAAAGAGCCCACCCTCCAAAACTTCCATTTTCTCCAGGGAAAATTATGTCTGGAGATCAATTACACTTTTGGGAGAACCCCAGGCCCCACCTGAAGTCGACAGCCCTGTGCAGTACAGCACCACTTGCTGGTTCAGGACTGCCAGTATTCAATGAAGTGGGACCAGAAGGAGTTCTGGTTGATGTTGTTAGTGCTCCAGATCCACAAGAAAAGTCCCTAGCTCATAGTCAGACTTATCCTGGCTTGATTACATCCTGGTTTTGGGTAGGTTTGCCAACCCCCAGATCCAAGCGGGGATTCCCCCACTTCTGGGGGCTTTAATCTGCCCCCGGCCAGCTGGCCGCCGGGGAAAGCCCCACCCCCAAGAGCAACCACCCGCCCAGCCACCCCTCTCCCTCCCCTCCTGCCTGATTTAAAGGGCTTCAGCTGATCAGTGGGGTCCACATGGCCTGCCGACCAGCTGGAGGGCCCTTTGAATCTAGGAGGAGGGAGGGAGAGGGGTGGTCACAGGCCGTACATGCAGGGTGGGTGGTCGTGCTTGTGGGGCAGGGCTTAAGGGCACCCCCAAATCCCCCCGCTGGAGCAACAAGGGGGCTGGCAACCCTAGTTTTGGGATAGAGTAAGGAAAGTGCCACTCTGAACAAAATGGACTGTTATGTCACTGTTCAGCGTGCATACCCCTCACGTAGCCCTGCTGCATTTTTACAATATGAGCTGCTTTATATCCAGTCATTCAGTTATCAGAACATTTTTGGCTACCGCTTTGACTTTGTGGGTAATCAAAATATCTCTACAGCTCTAAAATATTTCGAGTAACCAAAAAATGTCTGCACCAAATATTGTGAAAAGAAGCCCTTCAGTTCGATGTTCAGCAAACCAAGACATTTTGATCACTTATTTAAAGCATGACTGGGTTTTTAATGCAATTCCGTAGCACAATTTAGCCAATTCAAAATCACAAAGAACAGAATGTAACATAAGCACATTCTTTTATTTTACTCTCAGGATCAGAAGATAATCTTTTTATGGAGATCTTGAGATTTTGTTTACAAAATTGAATTAAAAATAAGTAAACTTCCATGTTCCATGTGTCTGACGGAGGGAGCTTTGCCTCTCGAAAGCTCATCCCCTGAAAATCTTGTTGGCCTCCAGGTTACTACTGGCCTCGGATCTAACTGTTCTATTGCAAACCAACCCAGCTATCCTCTGAAACTATCTTCCAGGTTCCTGTATATGAGCCTAGCAGTTGGGCAGCTTGTGATTTCTCACGATCATTGGGAAGAAGGACAACAAAGACTTTGCTTGAAAGACCATCTTCATTCATATTGGCCTGCTTGGGCTCTGAGATAAATGGATAATGCCTTCCTATGGGAACCAATTTTATCCGTTGGAGGGTTTTTTCAGCTATCGCTCTGAAACTTTAGACCTCCCTCTTTCAGAAAGCTAGCACTGTTCCTGCAGTTCTGTGGCGCAAACAGAAAACTATTTCACCAAGTCTTTTATTGAAGGGGCAGCTTTTGTTGACCGGTTAGGCAACACCTTTATGCTGCTATTGCTTTTTTGACTCTTCTCTAAATATGTTTTATGACTATTTTATAAAGTGTTATTGATAACTGGGAAGGGGGTTTGGGGGTGTAATATATATGTTTGCTTTTAGATTGTTAGGTGCCTTGGGGCTCTGTAAAGGTAAGAAGGGAAGGTGGCAAGCTTAAAAACATAATGTAATCAGCTTCCTCTTCCTGCCTTATCCATGGAAATCATTCCAGTCTGTTCCTAAATCATAGCCTATAGATGGGACTTTTCTCTCCCCCCCCCCCTTCATAGATGGGACTTTTCTTGAGAGAATATCTATGCACAGTTCTTCAGGGTCTTAGGAACAAGCACCATGTTACAGGTTGTATCTGATTACTTGACCTGACTTTCAATCCATCAGTCACACTGAGTTGCAA